ATTTGAACATATAGGCTATGAGAAGATGTGAAGTGAAAATGGCAGACTGACTGCAACTTCATGAAACATGGAGCTATGGAACAGCAGAACAGAATGTATAAGATGACTGAGGAATGTGACATCTAGGAAAGAGCACGGTTGTTGTTTCACAACTCTCATTCATGCTTCAAGAATAGACAAACATCCTTAGGCAGGTGGTGGAACAGACATACCTTTAGCCACAAAACACGTCTTCATGGGTGACTCCCAAGGTTGCACTGAAGCCCTCAAAACTCTGCCTTTCTAAGAGACAGGTGGAGGTGAGAGGGCATTTCATGGACTGTTTAGACTTGGCCTATTTCTAATGACTGCCTTCAGTCATTTCATCACAAAAAGGAAGGGCTAGTTAGACTATTTTGCCATCCCAGTGCCCAGGAGATTTGGCTATGAGTGGTTGACCCCCTGATATTAGTCTGAGGCTAGGAATACCTACCAAGATGTCTGCTCCTTTACATGTCTGCAAACTGGACTCTCTGCATCCAGTTCAAGAGGGTGGGTGCCTTCTCAACAGAGCATATCACACTCAAAGTCTGGAACTGGAGTCATGGTGGTTTCGTGGAGGTCACAGTAAGAAGGTGACTTGTACTTCGGGTACTAGAGAGAGTGAAAGGCTTTTTGCAGCTTACAAACTCAGAAGCGGGTTGACACCAGAGCCCAGGCATTTCAATTTAGGATGTGGACATCTCAACTGCTTTGTCAAATGCCCAGCCTATTGTGCAAAAAACTTGAAACTCATATATACAAAGATCTTCAAAGATCATTAAAGCTTTTCTTAAAAAATTATAGATTTGAAAAGGCTTCACAACAAATTCAATTTTTTTCTATGTGTGTGTTTGATATAAACAGAATTCAGGGTCTCTCTGGCTCATTAGCACAATGCAATTTGTCATTTCTTAGGCCAAAAGCACCTACATGATTGGTTCTATCCTCTCTCTTACCTTTTCCGTCACCATTCTCCCACATTAAAAAAAAAAAAAAAAGATTTATTTATTTTTACTGGAAAGACAGATCTTTAGAGAGAGGAGGGACAAAAAGATCTTTCATCCACTGGTTCACTCCCCAATCGGCCGCAACAGCCAGAGCTCAGCTGATCTGAACCAGGAGTCAGGAGCCTCTTCCAGGTCTCCCACATGGTATAGGGTCCATCCTCTGCTGCTTTACCAAGCCACAACCAGGGAGCTGAACGGCAAGTAGAGCAGTTGGGACACAAACTGGTACCTATATGGGATGCTGGCACTTGAAGGAGAAAGATAAGCCAATGGACCCATTGCACTAGGCCTTCCACTGTCCATCTCTTATAGCTACACTCGTGGTTCCCTGAAAACATCAAGCTATTCCTACTTAAGGGTGTCTGCATTTGTGGTCTCCTCTTCTTAGCATGTGATTCCCTCATCATTTTCTTCAGATCTTTCAATATCACCTTCTCAAAGACAATGCTATTACATTAAAAAAAATTTCCCTTTTGTTTTAAAGAGAATGAGTGATTGTGAGAAAATCAAAGTTTTCTCATCTGCTGGTTCACTCTCTAAATGCCTATACTATCTGGGGTTCAGCCAGGCAGAAGCTAGGAGCCAGGGATTCAATTCAGGTCACCTAGGTAGGTGGCAGGGATCCAAGTACCTGGGTGTCAACTGCTGCTCGTCAGGGTGCACATTAGCACGTAGCTGGAATTCGAAATGGAGCTAAAACTTGAACCTAGGCACTGTGACATGGGATTCAGGTGTTTCAACTGGTGTGCAAAATGCCCACCATGACAATTCTATTTAAAGGCATCTTCCCCTACCTCTCTCTAGTCATGCGTATCCTGCTTTATCTTTCTGCAGAACACTGCTCATCACCTGAAATACCTCTCACATCTGAGCTTGGGCTGGAAGGCTGTCTTTCCCAGCAGCATACCACAGAGCTCAGAGCAACCGGCCTAAAAGAGCTCTTTATGTTTCTATCATATCTGGAGATGGAATGCATGAATGGGCTCTTGACAGCTTGGTAAGCCAGCGTTGCAGGAGCAATCCTGTTGGTTCCCCTGTCAGATCCAAGGCTTCCCTCCGGCCCCTGTGAGTGGCTTCCCCCACCAGCCACGCCTTTGCCTTTCCTCTTCTGTGGAGCAGATATCACTAACCAGCAGCCAATTTTGATGAGGCCAAGCCTTTTGCATCCACTACCTTTTCTATCCTTTCTTATAAGCGCCCCCACTCAAGGTGCTCATAATCTCTCACCTGGATCATTGTCATTATTTTAAACTTGGGCTACCTGCCAGCAGGCTCTCCCCCTCCATCTGTCTGCCAATGGCAGGACTGACTGAACCGTCCTCTGCTCAGATACTACAGATCAGCTCCCTTGCTTGGTGCTCAACATTCCCAAGCACCACCTCCACCCTCCCAGCCAGTTTCCTTCTCACAACCTCCAGTGGGAAGTGGCTCCAGTGGGAATGAACTTCATTGCAGTTTCAGAAATCCATCCTAGAAAGAAGTTCTCCTGCCTGTCTGTCTGCTCGAGCCACTTCCACTCCATGAAACACTCCTCCGTTCTTCTAAGGTATGCATCATTCAGACCCAGCTCAAACACCACCTACCCTCTCCAAGGCAGTATTCCTGATCTAATCTTCCACCAGAATCAAATCTTCCCTTCTCACTCTTTCCAAAGGATTTTCTGCTTCTCTGTCACAGAGAGTCTCAAGAAAGTACAGGTTACCTGAGGCGAAAGGAGCTTAGCCCCTGCAGCCAGATCCTCTAAGGTGGAACCTGCCTCTGTGATTCTGATGTTCTTAAGGAATGTTTCCTTAGATAAGTGGAAGTCTGAGTCTCAACTTCCCCATCTGTAAAATGGGACTGATAACACTCTGGACATCACGGGTATGTTCTGTAGAGTTATTGACAGACTATAAGAAAAGCTTTGACGCCATGTCAGAATTAATTACTAATTCTATCATGCTAAGTTGCAAAACACTAACACAAGTTTTGCTCCCTCTGGGGAGTCTCCTGGGTGTCTCTTCCTGTCTGGGCACTAAATTCAGGAATAGGTTCCTGGGCCAGGGGCTGTTTTTGAGGAAGCAGGACTTTGAGACCCTATAATCACATGTTCTTGGATGATTTAAAGAAAGGAAGAAGTGGAGGCCATATCCATAAAGCTGTGGGATCCTAACGGTATTAACAGCCACCGATTCCCAAGTTTTCTCTAGGCCCTGGCCAGGAACTGTGCTAAGCATCCTACACACATCACCTCCTCGAGTCAGGAAGTACTTTCTCACTGAGAAAGAGAGGTAAAGCAGGCCCAGGACAGTTACATAAATAAGCGTTCCCCTGTACGACAGAATCCCAACACTCACTATAAGGTCTGTGGGCATGGCACATGTTGGAGAACGACAAGGGTGCAGACACGAGCTAGATGTCAGCGGCGGCTGCTGGGGTTACATGTGGCCACCAGCTTTCTGCTCCACACTCTGCTGCTTGCCCCACTTCGGAAGAGGTTCTTAAGACAAGCACCAGGAGTCAGGAGCCAAGGCCCCCAGACTTGGAACAGGTGGCTGCTTCATCAACTCACCATCCAGTTCTGCTCCAACTATTACCACATGCGTGTTGGACCAACCTCCTTGTGCCAGGCATCAGCTCAGCTGAGGACACACAGCTGCCCTTGAGGGAGCCCTTGGCTGAGGACATTGCCCAAACCTGGTGTGGTTGTAACCCAAGCTGCCCCAGCGGCTTTGTCAGCAATGCTTCACAGACACCCAGGAGAAAGAAGTGGCTGGACTTGGGGACAGCCACGCCGGGATGTGAAAGGGGTCTGGTTTATTTAGCAGGCTTGGGACCTTCAGGAGGAGGAGAGAGTAACTAGGAGGGCATTGGTAAGGGCAAAATCAGGGAAGAGGATGAATCTTGAATGCTCCATGTTAGGATGCTCCAGCTCACAGGCTCCTGGGAAAATCTTATCTCTGGTCCAGGGCTGCCAAGATCTCTCAAACTTAAGTCCTGAACCTGGACTGCTTGCATGTAAGAGAGGTCTCCTCCAAGGCTGAATGAAGCAAATCAAAGGCCATTTAAAAAGAACATTAACAAGCAAACACAAATGAACAGGTAGGAAGAATCTCAAATGAATGGCACCTGCCACTCCAATTGGGGGCAGGGCTGGTATGACAATGTGGTAAATCCTGGGCTTGTGAGGATTCAATGGGGGATGAGATGTAGTTGTGGAGTGGGGAAATGAGTAGCAAAGCCAGGGACAACAACGCAGGGTTTGTGACTAATTTTCCAGTGACCTTGGTTAAGCCACCTCACCTGGCCTCAGTTTCCCCAGCTGTAAAATAAGGAGACAAAATGAGTTCCCGAGGTTCTTAGGGTCCTGGCTGCCCGTGCCACCTGATCCTTAATAACATAAATCCTCCAAGGCCCTGGGCATTCTCCCGGTTTTTCAGGAGCCTGGGCCTTAGGGGGAGGGGGGAAGCGGCATGCTGGGGGAGGGGAAGGAACTCGTTGGGTTTTTATTTTGGGAGTGGGTGGGATGTGAGTGGCCAAAGCTACAGGGTTGGGGGAGGTAAAGCTACGCGGGTGGGTGGGAGCTGCGGTTTGGAGAGACCAGCAGGCCAGCGGCGATTTCCAGCCTCCCCACGGGGTTCAGACACAGGAAAGGCGATGTAGCCTAGAGCCGCGCACCAGCCCCGGCCGCGGAGGCTCGGACCCAGGACCGTTACCCCAGTGCCTCCCTGGAACCACGCAAGAGCTTCATGGGGAGTGGCTGCCGCTCCTCCCCGGCCTCCAGGCGCTGGACCACCCTCCTCCCGGCGGGGCTAGGGGAGGGACCCTTCCCCCCAGTCCGGGGGCGCCCGGAGCCCCATGGGGGCGTGGCGGGGGCGGATGCCGTTTCCCCGGACCTGAGAGCATCTCCACTCAACGAGGGCCCTGGAGGACCCTGCGGCCCCAGCCTTGGGGCGCCCCACACAAAGGCGCCCACGGAGGCGCAGCACTTACCGGCCAGAGCGGGCTCCGGGCGCCGGCGAGCTGGCGGGCAGGCTGGCGGGAGGATGTGCGCGCGTGTCTGCGTGTGTCTCTGTGTCTGCGTGAGTGTGTGTGTGTGTGTGTGACAAGAGCCGAGCTCTGTGCGTCTGCGTGTGCGGGGGCGTCCGTCAGTCTGTCCGTCTGTCCCGCGCTCCGTGCGCGTTCCCTCGCCGAACCGCCCCACCAAATGCGCCTCAGCAGTAGAGTCGCTGGCGCAGCCGCGGGGTCGGTTCCGCACCCCCCCAGCCCGGCTCCGCCCCGCCCCCGGGCGGGCTTGCGCCGCTCCCCAGGAATTGCGCAGGGCCGGCGGGGCTGGGGGGTGGGGAGCTCCCGCAGCGCGCCGGGAGCCAGGGGGACCGGATCACAGACCCCCTTAGCTCCTGATCTGGTCTCGGCCCCACCTCCACCCCCGCAACTTTGCGCGGAGTCCCCGCAGGCGCCGCCCCCACGCCAAGGTTGCCTGGACCGGGAGGGCGGGGGCGTGGGAGCACCGCATCCATTTCATTCATGATTTTCTTCTCCCAGGAGCCCTGGGTCGACAGCGTCCGCCAGAGGGATCCCCGCCTGGCCGTGCGCACCCAACCCAGACAGAAACAGGGAGGCACACTGAATTAGGGGCTAGTGAGACAAAGGGTCAGAGCTGTGGTGTGGTTGGGGGGCGGTGTGTGGAGAGGGTGCTGTGGCACTCACTGCACGATGCCCACAGCTGTGCGCACGGTGCCAGTGCTCATGACCCGTTCCAGGCGGGTTTCCCCGTTTATCCTTGTCCAGTCACTGGGGCGACTGCGGGTGGGGTCGGGTGGGTGCATTTCTTTCCCTTCAGGGACTCTCATCCTCCTGAAATGCGTCACGGGTTGGGGAGGGGGGCTGCCTGTGTTGGCTTTCTTCTGGGCAGCAGGGGCTGGGACGCGCAGGGAGCTGCCTGCTCACCCTACAATCCCACATTCCTTTGGTTAGCACCCTGACGGACTGAGGTTCCCAAGATTCCATCCTCGTGGGGGCTCCTTGAGGTTTTGGGCAGCAGGCAGGGATGGAATCATGAACTCCATTTTTACACTGGAATTCGGAGGGGAACCCCACCCCCAACATGCCTGCCATCTGGTTCCAGGGACCATGCTCCTTGGCCAGGATTTCCCCCAGTAGCCCCTTTACTGGTCTCCCAGTTTCACTGTCAGCAGCCCTCTCCCCCAGTCGAATGCTTACACAGCAGGCAGATGGATCCTTTAAAGCTAGTCTGATGGTGTTGTTGCTTCACTGAAAATCCTGTAATGGCTTTCCTTTTCGTCCAAGCCTTTTGGTAAAGCCCCTCCCCGCCGCCCCCTGCCATGACCCGCAAGACTCTGCATGAGCTGGCTTCCTGATAGCTCTCAAAGCTCACTTCCTATTGTTCTTGTAACTTCCTGAGCTCTTGGTCTCCTACGTGGGTGGCAGGGACCCACATACTTGAGCCTCCTAGGGTTTGCAGGAAGCTGGATCAGAAGGGGAGGAGCTGAGACTCTAGCCATGGGCTGTGAGCATCTCAAGTGGTGACTTAGCCACGGTGCCAAACACCTACCCTGGCTTGTCTAATTTTTTTTTTTTAAGATTTATTTTATTTTTATTGGAAAAGCGGATATACGGAGAGGAGAGACAGAGAGGAAGATCTTCCGTCCGATGATTCACTCCCCAAGTGAGTGCAATGGCCGATACTATGCCGATCCGAAGCCAGGAGCCTCTTCCGGGTCTCCCACGCGGGTGCAGGGTCCCAAAGCTTTGGGCCATCCTCCGCTGCTTTCCTGGGCCACAGGCAGGGAGCTGGATGGGAAGCCGGGCCGCCGGGATTACAACCGGTGCCCATATGGGATCCCGGGCGTGCAAGGCGAGGACCTTAACCACTTGCGCCACCGCACTGGGCCCGGCTTGTCTAATTTTTAAGGTCCAGTATATATGTATATATTTCACCTCCTTTCCCATTTGAGACTGAATAGAAATGTTCTCACTAAATCAACCTGATCTGACATATATCCATCTCCTGAAACCAACAGGAGCAAGGAACCTTCAGACCCTAACAGCAAAAGACCTTGTACTGCCTGTTAGTAATGTCTTCCACCTTTGCGCATGCCCAGAAAAGCCCTGGACAAACCACAGTGACCTTCCCAGGGAGGTGTTAGTGAGCAACACCACCCACCGCTTTGAGTTGGCTGTGTGCAGAAAAAGCAACTGGGCATGGCCCAGAACACACCAAGTGTTGTGTGCGCAGAGAACATGAGTCAGAGACAGAGGGTACAGCCACGCCTCCCAACCAGATAAAAGCCCTCATTCAGCTCTCCTCTAGGAGCCAGTTGGAGAAACCTCTTCCCTTCATTCTGTCTCCCATGTGTTTCTGCAGAGGCCTCCAACAAACCTTATATGGGTTGCATGTTAGCCTTTTGGCATTCCATTGCAAGAAGCTGGGAAAAGGGTTAATAGCACAAGGAATCTCCTCTGGCTACTCCCAGGACATTCAGACCTGGGAAATTCCATTGGCTGTTTCCCCCTAGTGCCCTGTGTAGCCTCTTCCCTACAGGTATGCTGTGAACTCTTGTGAGAAGGGGTCTAGCCTCCTAGGCTCCCCGAAACCCAGCCCAGAAGGGCTTGTTTGTGGATCAACAGCACCCAGTTAGCTTTATATCTTTATCTGGGGAGGGGCCTAGCTAATCTTGTCACGTTCACAGAAATTCCTGCAGAGTGCAGTTGGAGAGCAGAGAGAAATCTATTGTGAGATGACCAGGCCATGCTGCTTGGCTATATGAAGCATGGGTAGCCACTGTCAGCCTGCAATGCAGGACTCACTCGCTGTCACTGGTTGAGCTTCCCCATCTGGCTTCGGTGCAGCTGTGGCAGCTATAGAATCCTTCAGTGTGTATCGTTTGGTGTTCCTTGTGTTACTCAATTCCTTGTTTGTGGCAACTTCAGGAAATAGGTATTGTCATGTTTGTATTCAGAAGAATAACCAGAAAGAATAGTGATTTACTCAATGTCACAGAAAGGGTGAGTTTTTCCAAATTCTAGTTAATTCCAGAGCCCCAGCTCGTAGCACAATAAAGGCATTGAGGGTTGATGGAAGTGAGAGGAAGAAGAAGTTATCAGGAAATCCTCAGCAGGGTCAGCCTGGCCCAGAATCTTCTACCTGTTAGGAGTCAGAGAGCCCTGTGACAGGAACCTACCTTGCAGGTTTCTGCCTGCATGGCCCGCGCCATCCTGTGGGGATGTTAGTTGTAGCCTTTCCTACAAGCATCTCCAAATGGCCCAGCGGTGTGCTCAAGGTTCGCAGCTCAGCCCTGTCTGTTGGAGGTGGGCAGTGATGCCATCTCCCAGGACTCAGGCAAGAGAGAACTGTGTTGATGCGTCTAGATGATGTAGGAGCTCAAAAGAGGAGTTTTCTTCTTTGCTTCTTTGTGGTGGGTTCCCATCAGGTAAGGTGACACTTAAAACTAGACTTCCAACCCTGTTTCTACACTGTGCACTCTGTTTTTAAAGGGTTATTTATGTATTTGAAAATGAAAGTTATAGGAAGAGGTAGAGATGGAGAGATGCTCCATCTGCTGGTTCACTCTCCAGCTGGTTGCAACAGATTGGGCTAGGCCAGGAGCCAGGAACTTCATCAGGGTCTCCTACGTGGCTTTTAGGGTCTCAGATACTTGGACCATACCCTGCTGCTTTTCCTAGGGGCTGTTAGCAGGGAGGTAGATAGGAAGTATAGCAGCCAGGACTTGAACTAGTGCCCATACAGGATGTTCACGCTACAGGTAGCAGCTTAAGTCGCTACACTAGAGCCCTGGCCTCATTGTCCACCTTCTTACTGAAGAGCTTCATTTTCCCATAACCTATGGAGTGTTACCCTGGGGTGCAGTTATGGAAAGAAAGTGTAGTGTTTGTTAAGAGCGTTGAAAACCATCTGTATGATTCCCTTGCTTCCTCTGCTCGCGTTTGCACAGCCACCCCAGGAAGGCAGTGCCGTGACTAGCTGAAGCACAGAGGTCCCAGGGCTTTCCCACAGCCTTGGAGTTCACTGTTCACTGGCGTGATGGGCTTCTGGTCTGTGTCTGCCTCTGTTCAGACAGAGCACCTGCTCCCTAACTCCATCGTTGGGGAAAGATAATAATATTATCTTCCTCTTGTCTGGTGCTGGAGAAGGGGATGTCTGCGGGGCCCATGATAATGAAGTAGTTACAAGGCTGGGATGATGAGGAGGCTTATTGAGTCATTCCTGTGACTCATTTGCCCTCCTCTGATGGAAGAAGGAAGCCGGGTTTTGGAAAGAGGAGGAAGGAGAGAGAAAGATGGTCTGAGAAGCCATCGAGTGTCTGGCTGGTGGTTTTTGATGGACTGTTAGAGTCAATATTTCTTGCTTTTGGTCTCACTTGCCATTCTCTGTGTTGGTAATGAAATGCTCTGGTTCAGTGAAAATGCCCCCCATCCAGATTTTAATTTATTTACTTACGTATTTATAACTCAGCCCAACCCACAAAGGATTTGAGGTACCTTGCCACAGGAGCAGAAACCATAAAACAATGTTAAAATATCAATAAGGATAAAGGAAGGCAAAGGAAAATGTAAATAAACTCAGAGAGATGAGACCACAGCTCAATAATTAAGGTGATTTCTACCTAGTTCTTCCTGTGTGCAGCAGAATTGGTGAACATTATTTCATTTAATTCTTAAAAGAGAGCTGTGAGGTAGGTCCTATTATTATCTTCATTTTGAAACATGGTGAGAAACTGAGACTCAGCGAAATGAAATCAGGTGCCCAAAGTCACGTAATTGGGAAGCAGGAGAGCCAATAATTGGGTCCAGTTTCATATTGGAACTCTTGACCCTGACCACTGTCCTGTCCTGTCTCTGCATTGGACAGAAGTTCACATATTTATAGACTGTAGGAACCTCCGGAACACTGTGTGTGAGCCTCAGATTTGGTTAAAATCATCTTGGATGCCAAAAAAACCCAACCAGTCAGTGACTTGAATTGGTACTCTCACATCCTTCAAGTTTTTACCTAAGTTTGGTTTCTCAGTGAGGTCTAACTTGATCACTCTACATAACACAGCTTATTTTATTCTGCTATCACCTTCCAGGTGCACTTCATCTTTCATTTTATGATGACACATTATTGGCATTTATTTATAAATTATATGGTAATATTATGCATTTAATGTATTATATTTTTATCATAGACATAGCCTGCATTCT